CCATCGTTCATTAAGAAATTTTCTGCATCTCTCGCTTCACCTGTGTCGATTATCTTCAATCGTTCGCTAGTTAGTGGTGTTTTACCCACAATGTGGAAGGTTGCGTCCATCACACCTATGCACAAAGCTGGAAACATCCACAACGTTGAAAATTATCACGGAATTTCGATTATAAGCTGCCTCCCAAAAGCTCTGGAGAACATCGTATATGAGGTCGTATATCAAGCGGTTAGGCCAATAATTATCGAACATCAGCACGGCTTCGTGAGGAAACGCTCTACAACAACCAACTTAATGGTGTTTGTCAACTCGCTGATCAACTCCATTGAAAAACGACGACAAGTTGATGCGATTCTACGTGGACTTCAGTAAGGCGTTCGATAGGGTTCCACATGTGCTTGCAGTGGACAAATGAGGTGTATGGGATTACCTAATTGGATCACGAAGTGGCTACAGTCTTACTTAACTGACCGCTCAGCCTATGTGAGCATTAACGGTGTTAATTCGCCTAGTTTCGAGATTCCCTCTAGTGTTTCCCAAGGTAGCCATTTGGGGCCTTTAATTTTCATCCTGTTCGTGAACGATCTGTGCAGTCGACTATGTTCTTCGAAACTTATGTTCGCCGATGACTTAAAGATCTTTCGTACAATTAAGTCAAGACTTGACTGTTGCGCACTCCAGAAGGATATTGATTCCCTTTTGCGCTGGTGTACATTGAACGGTATGCAGGTTAATGTCACAAAATGCTGTACAATATCTTTCAGCCGTTCACGCGAGCCCTTACGACATGCCTATAGGATAGGACTCAGTAGTTTGCTCTTCTTTTCTTCAGTTAAGGATTTGGGTGTTATCATCGACTCTAAAGTCAGATTCAATTAGCACATCTCCATGATAACTGCTAAAGCATTCGCCACATTAGGTTTCTTGAAACGAAACACAAACGCATTCCAGGACATCTACGCGCTGAAATCATTATACTGCGCTCTCGCCCGCAGTCTTCTAGAGTATGCTGTTGTTGTGTTGGCACCCTTTTACGCTATTCAAGCTAACAGAATCGAAGCCATTCAGCGAAACTTCGTAAGATACGCTTTACGTGTTCTGCCCTGGAACGATTCGGTAAATTTGCCACCTTACGAAAAACGGTGCAGGCTGATTGACCTGGACACGTTGGCAGCAAGGAGGAACTACTTCAGCGACTCTTCGTGTTTGGATTGCTTAACGTTGACGTGGATTGCAACTTTCTTGTGAGCCAAATCTACATCAATGCTCCTCAAAGAGTTCTACGTAGTTACACGCTTCTGTGGCAACGTACCCATCGGACCAACTATGGATTCAACGAACCGTGGACTTTGTGCTGTGTGTGTGTGTGTGTGTGTGTACAATCTAACTCCCACTGTCCGACTGTCCGGCAGTGTTATTATGGAAGAAAACTGCTTTTCATTACTCTTAAATTAAAGCAGGTTTAGTCCGGGAGTTAGAAGGTGTTAGCTCTATTGCAGCTCCAGTGACCCATTTCAGAATGCCTGGTAATTCACGACCACTCCGAGGTCACTTTTACTTTACACTCTACTTTTATCAAATAGATAATGGTATCATAAACACACTTCCAGATTCAAAAAATATTATTTCCAAATCTGGCACGTATATAGTTTTGAAATTTGATCAACTGTATTAAATCGATTTGAATGGACATTTCTTATCAATTTTGTTTCGAATACCTCTTGATTCATCTGCTGGCAGCACTTACTGGCCCTTACCGGTGACCAACTAATCTGCCCGCAAATGCAACAACGCCCAAATCTCAAAGCTCTCTGAACGTCCCCTCGAAATGCAATCGAGATATGTATAAGAACAATCTTCAACTGGAACGTACTCACCAAATCAATATATCCGGGAGCAAATTCCCGATGCTTATTTTTCTCTCGCAAACCCGTCGTCGTCGAACGGCAAAAAAAGGAAACTCGGTGAGCAACTTTGTGACACGGAATTTTCACTGAACATAAACCGCGAATTCACGAATTTCACCACACCCAACTGCGAAACACGTTCAAATTTCTTTCGAAAACACAACAAAAAAAGTTACAAGCGAGCCAACATCAACACCCATTGTGCCGAGCTCTTTCACGCACCTTGCAGCGCGTAAATAAACTGAAATTAAAAATTATCACTCGCGATGCCACTAATTTCTGGTCCGGGAGAAAATCAAACAACGCAGATCGCGACATCTCTTCTGATGCTTGCAAACATGTTGAATCACGTTTTCTTTCTCTATTCTAAAACTTCCCGGAAAGCGAGAAAACTACCAATCACACACGTATAAACGTCCGGGAGGCAGAGCGCCAGCGATAATCCGGCAATTGCAGCCGAAAACTATGACAGCGAACGCACGCACAAAGCGGAGAACAAACTTAAAACACAACCGTATCCAAAGGCGTTCGAAAGTGCACCCGCACTTTAGGTGAATCATCCTGTCGCAAAAAAACCATGCAGAAGACGGATTCTTCATCGCCTTTAACTGGTTTAGCGCATTGGTCACAGTCGGAAGTCATGCTGACTCAGTTTCCAAAAGTGATTTAGAAACAGCGATGGAGATGCTCTAATACGCAAAGAGGAATTGGCTTCTCAAGATCGCCCAATGCTAGACAGTATACACTAGAATATGTCTGATTGGATAACTTTTTCACTGTTTTCACAAAATATGCTCTAATTAGACGATTATCGCAACAAACTGCACTTTCCACTAACAACCAGTACAATATTACAGGTATACCGAACGGAAAAAAACGAATAACGATAGCCCGTGTGACAAATTTAGCGGCGCACAATCACGACGATGTCAAGATAGCTTACGTTACGTAAAACGCTAATAAAATCTACGCGTCAGTCGTTTGTTTTGTAATGCTAGAGGCATGGTAACCCAAAAATGTGATAGTTTTATGGACTCTGTCCCGTCTTACGTAAGAATCAAAACTTCTACTTTTCCAACCGTGGACTTTGTGCTGTCGTGTGTTTAATGAAACGTTTGATGTATATGATTTTAACATTAGTAAGTCTACTTACAGACATAGAATTCGACACCTAGCTTCAGTCATCTTCTAGAGACTTTTAAAACTCTTTAAGACGAATGTTTAATAGCTGGATTTGTTGCCTGTATCTCTTCTAATAAAAAGATATACTGAAATATAGTAAAAAATATGAATAAATTCAAATTAATTTTATACGAGTTTAAAAAATAACATACCTCAAATTTTTTCATATTATTGAGAATAACATACGCCCTTTCAAATGCTGAAAAAAAAACTTTTTTTTGTTTGCCCCAACCAGAGATATTAACATTTGAAAATTGCATATTTTTAGTATAAAAACGTCAATAACTCTTGATCGGCAAAAATTGTGGAGCAAAAATTTGCGCCTTTTAAAGATCTAAAAGTTATCTGAAGACACCTTTGCTGAGAAATTCGAAATAATAAAAATAGAGCAAAAAAACTGTTTTTTTGAGAGTCACCCTAACTCAATTTAAGAAAATAGTTCTAAATCGGCCAATTTAAGATATACAAAAAAGTTATTTTCAACAAAGTTGCTCTAAATTAGCTCAGCTATAACTTTGCTGAAGAATGTATACCTTAATTTATTCAAACAAAAAAGTTGGATTTTTTATTTTAATGATAATAGGAACCACCCTAGAATTCATTGCCATAAAAATGAGGGCCTAACTATAAGGAACAACTTTGTAGAAGAGACTTCTAGTCTAAAGTTTCAATTTCAGGCTCAAAACATATCATTCCACCTAAATCTGCATTCTGGACCACTGTGGAACGTTACATAAATAAGATAAATTCCTAGCAATTAAAGCAACCTGTATCAAAACCGAATACTTTATCATTTCTCAATAGTGATGGAGTAATACCACCGACAAACCGACATGAATGACCATAGCAAAAACAATAACATTTCTGTCCAAAGCACACTACTGACATCTGGCTCCGTGCTCGCGGGTTATATTTAGCTAAGCCTTGAACCCGCTTGCAAAAGTTATGAATTGGTTCGTGGCAGATCTATTCTGGAGAAATTATTTTTATCTAGATCAAAAAATCGTATGGTTTTGACAGTTCGGATCACTGCACATTTATATCGGCCGTTGACGATTTTCGGGCATAAGTCAGAATTAAGTGTCATGTCGGTTTGTCGGTGGTAATACGACATGCACTAAACTAAGGACACGGGATATACTACAATAGCCTAACTGAGCCACACCTTCTTTCATTTATCGCATCAAGATCTTACACGTAACTATCGTGCTGCTCCTTTTCACAGGAAACCAAAATAAGCATAATTAATCTCCTTTCTATCTACTCACCGATTGTGCTTCTTAAAGCAAAGCAAAATCGTTTCTGTATCTTAAATAGAGTCATAATATTATATATAGGAACAGAATTCACGCCGTTACCAATTCTAGACCATTGAATTGCTGCGAATTTCAAATGAATGGAATTCTAAGAATAGACAATTTCAAGGGAATCCTTAGAGAGTTTTGAAAAATTGATCGAATCTAATTCTGAGGAGACCTTCAGAGCAATCAAGAAATTGTTTAGAAAAGGTTCAAGGCATTTCTGAGTAGAGTTTCAAGGTTAATGAAAGATATCTTTGGACTGTTTTCTTGGAGGATTCCAAAATGGAAATCTGAAAAAAGCGTTGCAGAAACAGATTTCTTGTTAGTAAATATTTACGTTGTCTCATAATCACCTTTTTAACTGAATCTTAAATAAAAGCCATCCATTTTAAATGATAGCAATTGCAAATGCCATTTATGCCTTCTCTTGCTTGCGAAAAAATTGTGTTACACCTGGAAGAGGGCGGGTATTGGTTAAAGTGTTACGTTTGGTTACATGGGGGAGGGAGGGAGTACAAAACTGCACTTTTTTGGCGTTACATAATTCGTTAACAGACCCCAATCGTTTATCTAATTATTCCCTTTTCTTTCTATACGCTCTCCCTTTCAGCCATTCTACCAGCACAAGTAACAGCGAAGTAGAAATCTGCCCGCCCCCAGCCGATGGCGACTCCGACGCTGGAACCGGTACGTTCAGCCTGCTGCTGGCGCTCTGCGTCCACTCACTGCTGGAAGGCTTGGCCATTGGCGTGCAGACCTCCTCAGCCAAGGTCCTCCTGCTGCTGGGTGCCGTCAGTGCACACAAATTTGTGGTTGCCTTCTGTCTGGGAGTGGAAGTAAGCTCTCACCAGGGCAGCCGCCGCAGTTCCAGCTTGGTGCAGATTGTAATCTTTTCGCTGGGCTCGGTCAGTGGCATCGCAATCGGAATGGCACTGGGAAACTTGGACGATACCTTCAATCAATTGGTGATACCGGTGCTGCAAGCAGTTGCCGGTGGAACGCTGCTCTACGTGACAGTGAGTGAGGTGCTACCGCGGGAACGGAGCAAAAAGAAGTCCGGAGCGCTGGAAGGGATTTGGCAGCTGGTGGCGATGATCGGTGGCTTTACTGTGATGTCTTTCTTGAGCATGGCAATATCGGAAGGATGAATTCTAGCGTATGAAGTTTATTGTTTTAAGAGAAAATATATGAGTTTGTTTGAAAAAGGTTCAATAATTAGGGCATCATCTCAACAACTTTTTCGTACTGCTCCCCTCTACAAATGGGGCGGCAACCACCCAAAACCGACACGGAAGGAAATGGTTCCTTTCCCTTATCTGTCAGCCATCACAAAAGTTAATTAATGCTATTCATAACATCAACATAAATAATTAAATAAGAGCATTTGCAGCTCTTTTCCCGTCCATAATTAAGCGTGCGAACAACTCAGGAACGGCAACACACCAGCCTCTCACCAGACAGAGTAGCAAACGAAGAGCTGATACGTAGTAGGCAACATCGGAGGCTGGACTTGTTTTCCATTCCGCGAAGGATCGGTGTGGCGGTGCGGTCTGAACTGAGCCCGTCTCTTTGAATAATTAACTAATAAAACAAGCGCCTAATGAGAGAAGTGCATCGCCAGTCAGTAGTACCTAGTCTAGTAGCTTTAGTTTGGGGCGAAGTGAGTTTCGTTTTGTTGAAATCGAATTTCACTCGCTTATCTAGCTGACGTTGGCGTCCGTCTTCGTCGTCGTTGTCGTCGTCGGAAGTGGACCGGAACGGATGAGACAAATTGGGTGCAGATAGTCCTGTGCAAAGTTTCGGACCTTGCTACTCTCCGTTTGCTTTGTGGATACTTTGTCTGAGAAAGGCGTTCGGAATGGAAACATTTGCCACTTGAAGTTTATTTGCGCTGGCAAATGAAGTGTCTTGATAGAAATGTGAATGCACTGTGAAAACTTATGATTCAGATTCGGAGCAATACAATTAAGCAGGGAGAATGCCAGCTTCGGCTGTAGCTTTTCCTAGTATCATCAGGGGGAAATGGAGTCCTTGAGCACTCATGCTTAGCATCAAGATGTACTATTTGGGAGCTTCCTTAGCTCAGTCGGCAAAGGGGCAACTATAAAGTAAGACCATGCTAGAGGCGGCTGAGTTCGATTCCCGGTCAGGTCTAGGAATTTTTCAGGTTGATCTAATTTCGCAACTTCCCTTGTATGAGAGTAGGATTGTACTTGCCACACAATAACACAAATGCAAAAATGGTAAGGCTTTACTATAGCCGGAAGTGAATGATGATTATTTGTGTTATTACCAATAAAAGTTATGTATAATCCCTAGACTATATTTAGAAGGAAGTGCCAAACAACTTTTTCGAAGGATGTACGGTGCTAGAATGGCTCTAAAAAAGGGATAACTGTTCAAAAATCGATGTTTCGAATCAAATGCCGGTGTAGCAATGAAAGTCAGATTTCAAACTGAAATAATTTTGGAGTTGATTATCTTATCGATTTGGTATGTTCAGATAAATTCGACAGTGAGCATACATAAGGGCGTAAACGCGTTGATCGATTCTCTTCGTTGATATTCTCTTTTGTTAATAACTCGCTAGATTTAATATTTCTCGGTGCGTTTTCTATTGCTTTGATAGACAATACAACCTGTTACAACTCTGCATTGAACACATTTTAGAAATTTTTTTCGCTTAGCTGTAGCAATGCAAAGAGAAAATCGATGAAGAAAATCGATCATCGCATATACACCCTTATGCATGCTTACTGTCGAATTATTCAAAAATAATTTCTAAATCTCATAGGCATGGCTAGTGAGGAGAGAGGCCTTACTATACCACCGCCGAAATTGAGCTCTCAAGGACGTTGTTTACCCCCTGACGATAATAGGTAAAGGTATTGCCGAAGCCAACTTTTCCCCTATCTATTTATTAATCTGACTTTTTGGCGCCCTAATAAATGTGATGCGGAAAAGCCTATTTAACTGGCGTAAAAACCCCATATCTTTTCACAATAAAGCACAAACATTACAACACAAACACAGCTCCATTTAATAAGCATAAGGGCTGTTCATTAACTACGGAGACAGTTTTTTAAGGATTCTTGACTCCCCTCCCCCTGCATAGACAATTGTCCATACAAATAAATTTAAATTTGTATGGGCCGTGGATGATTGCCCAACCCCCCCCCCCCTCATAAACTGTCTATGTAGTTTATGAACAGCCTTATAGTTGGAGGATAGGCAGTGCGCTTACCGTATCCCTTCCTCTCCCTCAGTTATACAGTACTTTCCTGTTTTTGTCAGCCCCATCTGGAATTTTAGGCTGACAAAAACGGGAAATTTTCTTTTTCAATATGTTAACCGTGAAAATGATTTTGAATTCAAGTTGAACCATTATTTATCCACTATTGATGTAATTATTGATATTTTTTATTATTTTTACAACAAAGGGTACACCAAACGTCTCGAAAAGTTTGCGTACGGTTTGTTGAGCCGGTACGTACTGTTCGGTTTCCTTAAATTCCAATTGGTTTTCAGCGCTGCAACCAAGGCTGAACCTCCATATCTCAGTATCAACGTAAATACACTAGCCAGGAGCCGTCTCTTCCTACTGCTTGGTCCCGAGATGTTCGGTATGATTCTGGTTACCACGTTGTTGAAGGCCTTCGCTGCCTTCTCGTAGGCGTATTCTACGTTGCTATTGAAGCCAAAGGTCGTCGACCATCACTCCCAGGCATTTCAACACGTACTTCTAGTTTATTGCGTACTCCCCAACGGTAATCTCTGACCGCTACAGCGCTTTAAAGTTACTGATCAATACCCCCTCGCGTTTTTTGTGGGCTATCTGCAGATTCGCTCCATGCATTAGGCTTCCAATCATGTCGACCGCCTCGGTCGCCAACATTTCCATCTATTTCAGCGTCTTGCCTGTTACCATAAGACGACGTCGTCCACAAAGCCAACGATCTCAACTCGTTTGGGTAGCTTCAGCGTAAGACCGCCGTTTTAAATCACATTCCAGAGCGTTGGACCAAGGATGGAGCCTTGTGGAATTCCCACCGTGATCGTAATCGATCCCTGTCCCATACCAAAGGGCTCGTAGACCAGGTTCTGGAAGTAGCTTCGGCCTCCCAGCTGGAGCTGTTGAACCCATTCTTGACGTCGATCGTTATCACGGCGTAATATCGATCTCCTCTCCACTTCTGTTTCGACGCCTTCTTGGCTCTCTCGACAACTTCTTTCCTTTATTTAACGTCGGTCTCTGTTCTGCAAATCTAGTGCCAATCACCGACAGACATCGATTGCCATCCATTTACAGCAATCGAATGTGCAGGATGGCAGCTTCCACACCTGCGTAGGATATCGCACCCATTCAACACACATGGGCCGGGACCAACGGCTTTACTTCCCATCCGAAGGAAGACGTGACCAGAGAATTTTATGCCTCAGAAAAATCCCACCGACCTCGGCTGGGATTGAACCCATTGGGGTGAGAAAACAGTCACGCTTACCACTACACCACCGGTGCCGGCCTCTCTCGACAACTGTCCGAATTGCATCCACTTTTGCTCTTCCTTTTCGAAATCCGAACTGCCTCTCCGACAATCCTTGCTCACGCTCCGTGCATTTCGTCAACCTGTTTAGGATGACCCTCTCCAAGAGTTTTCCGAGAGTATCCAGTAGGCACTGCTCGTTGGTGACTTCGTAGTTAACTCCCTCTCCGTCTCCGTACGATGTAGGTGGCCAGGTCGTTGGATCGTGCTTCAAGAAAAGTCCTTCTACGACGACTTTACGGTTCTCTAAGCACATTTCAGCGGGCATGACTTGACATCTGATCTTCGTCATCACGACACGGTGTGCGTCGTTGACAGCAGCGTCTCGACCCGGCTCCAGTTGACAGTTTGACTTGCTCTGCTTTATCTCTCGTTTATGTGCTCGGAACATTCCACTACGTTCCTCTCTGCCTTCTTGCTCTCTGAACACGTCTTCTGGCTCTGGGACAACTAGCGCGGAGGGTGCTAATTGCCTCGTTGCAGCAGTAAGCTGGAGGCCGTCTGTTATTTAGCTCCAGTTTCCTCGGCTCCCGAACGATTCTGTCAACTCGTCTTCCACTTCAGGTCGCAAGCTCTCGTCCTCTGTACTGCCACAGGATTACGTTGGCCGATGCCGTATCGGATTGCCTGATGGTGAAGATAACAAATCAAGAAGACTGGCAACATCCTCAGAAGAAGGGTTTGTCTATTTGCTCATTTTTCTATGCGTCGCTTCCATCTTCACTCAAGCGCAGAGCCATTGTATCTGTCGCTTGGATTCTGACAAAGTCTCTAGTCTTCTTGATTTGTTGTCTTCACTGATGATCACTATGGGTATATCCTTCACACACTCTTCAATTCATGTTTTCCACCAGCGACGGACTGCAGTTCGCATAAAGTGATGTCGATAATGGATTCCCGGCCATCTCTGCGAAAAGTGTGGTGGTTCCTTAATTGAACAGCCTTATTTCCAGCTTCGCCAGAGCTTCCAGCAGAATGTGCCCTCTTGCGTTGGTACATCTGTTTCCCCACTCCACTGCCTAAGCATTGAAGTCTCCTCCGATGACTACCGGTCTTCGTCCGATCAGCTCTTCGGTAAGTCCAACCAGCCTCTCGTGGAACTGCTCCATCATCCATCGGGTGCGTAGCAACTACATATGAATATTCAGTTAATATTGGCGATCACGAAACCTTCTTCTTGATTGGGGTATCTACTAGACTGATGCAAAATTTGACTTTTTCGCTCCACAGTGCACTATGGGGAGAAGGGTGGCCATTAATATAAAAATTTACTATTTTTAATTTCACATATTTATATGCCAATTGAGAGTACATACTCTAGTTAAGACAAGCTGAAAATATTTCAACATAATATTGTGGCTAACGGAAGATACATGCTACCAAAGTTGAAAAAAGTGGAAAATCATAGAAATCAAGCGTATTTTTCATCTTATGTTTCCCATATGCTATACAGTAATGTAAAAATATTGAAACATACCATTTTAAAGCTTGAAATCTAAGCTTTCCATTGGCGTTATCAACATTACAAATCGATCAAATTTTTGAATAGTCACATGAAAAAATACCAAAAAATTACGATTTTTCAAGACTAAATCATGTCGCAATAAAAAAGTCCACCTTGGTTCGCTCAACTGTTCATAAGAGAATAAAGTACAATCCTA